TTCAGGTCTCCTCACACTGCTGGTGTGTTGAATTTTTTGACATAGGGTGCTGGCAGATTACGGGCCTCCCATAGCTGCTGCCAGGCCCTAATCTGCCATGGGCCCCTATATACCCTGCCTCCTCATGCTGCTTGCCAGTCCAGAGTCTCTCATGGGTCCCTGTACGGCCTCCCATTGCTGCTGTCTCCATCGCCACACTCTTACTCTGCCATGTGCCACTTTCAGGTCTCCTCACACACTGCTGGTGTTTTGAATTTTTTGACATAGGGTGCTGGCAGATTACGGGCCTCCCATAGCTGCTGCCAGGCCCCACTAATCTGCCATGGGCCCCTATATACCTAGCCTCCTCATGCTGCTGCCAGGTCCAGAGTCTCTCATGGGTCCCTGTACGGCCTCCCATTGCTGCTGTCTCCATCGCCACACTCTGCCATGTGGCCACTTTTCAGGTCTCCTCACACACTGCTGGTGGTGTTCCATTTTTTTTGACATAGGGTGCTGGCAGATTACGGGCCTCCCATAGCTGCTGCCAGGCCCCTAATCTGCCATGGGCCCCTATATACCGCCTCCTCATGCTGCTGCCAGGTCCAGAGTCTCTCATGGGTCCATGTACGGCCACTTTCAGGTCTCCATCGCCACACTGCTGCTGTGGTTTTCAGGTTTTTTGACATAGGGTGCTTTTTTGCAGATAGGGGCCTCCCATTAGGGCTGCCATTGCTGCCAGGCCCCTAATCTGCCATGGGCCCCTATATACCGCCTCCTCCTCATGCTGCTGCCAAGGTCCAGAGTCTCTCATGGGTCCCTGTACGGCCTCCCATTGCTGCTGTCTCCATCGCCACACTCTGCCATGTGCCACTTTCAGGTCTCCTCACACACTGCTGGTGTGTTGAATTTTTTGACATAGGGTGCTGGCAGATTACGGGCCTCCCATTGCTGCTGCCAGGCCCCTAATCTGCCATGGGCCCCCCGTACCGACTCCTCATGCTGTGACGTTGCAACAAGGTCCAAGTTCAACCCTACATCCCTGTTAGACCGCCTTTACGAACAGCGAAAGGCCATCACAGATTTCCTGATGTTAAAAGCTGCTGGTACCATGTGTAACTTAGATTTCAGGTCTCATTGGCAGCTCATGCGTGACACCTGCGCTTTGACTCAGGGGTGCTGAGGAGGCCACGCTGCTTCGTGAGTCCAGGGCCCCTAGGCAGGACTATGGGATGAACGACGTCATTCCTCCAGTACGGCTCTGTTGCACGTCCTGGAACAAATGCTGTTAACAAATGGCTGGTCAGGGGTACGTGCGGTAGACGTGGCCCACAGATCTCAACGCCCACATGACCCCTGTGGGGGGCAGGACAGGAAGAAGAGTGAGGAGGTAGAGGAGGACATTGGCGCTCAGGAATTATTGAGTGAAATGGGTGGTTTTTCCACTCAGCGCTCACAGGATGGAGGAGCAGGCAGAGCATCTTTAGAGGAGGAGGAGGAGGAGACAGAGGACCCAGACGCACCGTGGCAGTATGCTGTGGATTGGAGGCAGGGAGTCCCCTCGCATTCCTTGGCACAAATGGTGGCCATAGCATGCCTCGGTCCATGCTAGCTTGCGTAAGCCGACAGCCGAATAATAACCATCAGACAGAGGGATGACTTTTGCTGCTGTCCACCTTCCATGGACCCTCGCTACCCGTTTCAAAATGGTGGCCACTTTTTCACACCTGCTGAGAGGGAGGCCAAAATAACGTACTATAAAAACCACCTATGTAGTCAGCTGGTCTGCTGCTGTCTGCGCCAACGTCCCATCCTCAGACACTGGGGCCCTGTGCGCTCGCGTTCCGCTGCCATGGCAGCAGGGGGGGGTGGGGTGGTAGGAGCAGTGGCAGCCTCCACCAGCAGCGGCTGCCTCATCTGCAGTCGATGATGAGTAGATCTTTCTTCACCAGCTGCAGTGAGGAAACTACTAACCAGCCGCAGCAGCAGCAGCATCAGGTGGACCTGGAGCAGGACCTCAAACAACAGGCTTGGGCCTACTTGGACAGCACCCTGCCAACCGAGGTAGACAATCCCCTTGACTACTGGGCAACGAAACTTGACCTTTGGCCCCAACTAGCTGAATTTGCCCTTGAAAGGCTGTCATGCCCGCCATAGCGTGGCATCGGAGCGCCTCACATGCTGTGCGGCAGGAGGGTATTGCAACTCCGCGGAGGACACGACTGTCCACCCAAAGTGTGGAGAGACTCACGTTTGTGAAAATGAATCAGGCGTGTGATTAGTCTGGATTTCATTTCCCACCCCATGAAGTCCTGTGCCACACCCTCAACTGCTGCTGCTGGCAGATGTCTCCATCGCCACATGCCCCTATAACCACATGTGCCCACTTTCAGGTCTCCGCCTCACACTGCTGGTGTGTGTTTAAATTTTTTTTGTCATAGGGTGCTGGCAGATTACGGGCCTCCCATAGCTGCTGCCAGGCCCCTAATCTGCCATGGGCCCCTATACCACGCCTCCTCATGCTGCTGCCAAGTCCAGAGTCTCTCATGGGTCCCTGTACGGCCTCCCATTGCTGCTGTCTCCATCGCCACACTCTGCCATGTGCCACTTTCAGGTCTCCTCACACTGCTGGTGTGTTGAATTTTTTGACATAGGGTGCGCTCCATCGCCACACTCTGCCATGTGCCACTTTCAGGTCTCCTCACACACTGCGGTGTGTTGAATTTTTTGACATAGGGTGCTGGCAGATTACGGGCCTCCCATAGCTGCTGCCAGGCCCCTAATCTGCCATGGGCCCCTATACCGCCTCCTCATGCTGCTGCCAAGTCCAGAGTCTCTCATGGGTCCCTGTACGGCCTCCCATTGCTGCTGTCTCCATCGCCACACTCTGCCATGTGCCACTTTCAGGTCTCCTCACACTGCTGGTGTATTCCATTTTTTTGTCATAGGGTGCTGGCAGATTACGGGCCTCCCATAGCTGCTGCCAGGCCCCTAATCTGCCATGGGCCCCTATACCGCCTCCTCATGCTGCTGCCAGGTCCAGTGTCTCTCATGGGTCCCCTGTACGGCCTCCCATTGCTGCTGTCTCCATCGCCACACTCTGCCATGTGCCACTTTCAGGTCTCCTCACACACTGCTGGTGGTTCCATTTTTTTGTCATAGGGTGCTGGCAGATTACGGGCCTCGCCATAGCTGCTGCCAGGCCCCTAATCTGCCATGGGCCCCCGTACCGACTCCTCATGCTGCTGCCAGGCCCGTAATCTGTCATGGGCCCCTGTTGTCGCTTGTTGGCATATTCCGCTCGTTCAGATGCTCCTTCTCCTGCTACTCTCTCTTCATGGATTCCGTCAGCAGTCTTTCTTGGAATCCGTTTCCAAGAGACAACAGTTTGCGAGCACGCACCAGACGGTGCAGAAGCTGAACGTCCTCCTGTCCAAGTTGCTGCTGCCAGGCTCGTAATCTGTCATGCGCCCCCCTGTACCGCCTCCTCATGCTGCTGCCAGGTCCAGAGTGTGTCATGGGCCCCTGTACCGACTCCTCATGCTGCTGCCAGGCCCGTAATCTGTAATGGGCCCCTGTACCGCCTCCCCATGCTGCTGCCAGGTCCAGAGTGTGTCATGGGTCCCTGTACGGCCTCCCATTGCTGCTGCCAGGCCCGTAATCTGCCATGGGCCCCCGTACCGACTCCTCATGCTGCTGCCAGGCCCGTAATCTGTCATGGGCCCCTGTACCGCCTACTCATGCTGCTGCCAGGTCCAGAGTGTGTCATGGGTCCCTGTACGGCCTCCCATTGCTGCTGTCTCCATCGCCACACTCTGCCATGTGCCACTTTCAGGTCTCCTCACACTGCTGGTGGTTTCCATTTTTGTCATAGGGTGCTGTATGGCCTCCCATTGCTGCTGCCTCCACCGCCACACTGTGGCTCCACACTCTGGTTTTGGCCCCGTGACTGCCCAAATGAGTGAAGTGTGCGGTGATTCTAAGATCGATGGCACTCATCTGCATGTCATACTGACTGACAGTATTATTTCTCTTTCCCCAGCAGACTCCAAGGGCATTTAAATTAAAGGTACAGTGTTCAGCACTAATATTAAGTCTCTCTGAAGCCTAGAAACACCATTTTTTAAGTTAAATTCACAGCGAATATATTCGACTCGAATCAAAATTTTTCCACGAATTCGCCGAATCAGTCGAATCGAATTTTTGAATACTTCGCTCATCTCTAGTCTCTACTATTGGATAGAAATGGTAACATGTCATCAAAACCATGAACTCTGAACAGTATGTTTTTTTTCTAGGTGCTCGAATTTGAAGGTAGGGAGTGCCTAGCGGTTATGACACACTGGAGTTTCAATGCCAAAGTTAAGGTAAAATGGACATTTCTCAAACATTTTAGGAATTTTAACAGTTTGGTCAATTAGGATTAACTCAGCTCCTGACTTCCAATCTTTTAAAATAATGTGCTGAAACCCAAAAAGCAGGGATAGACTGCACTTAGAAAATGGTGTTGCTGACAGAAACACACTTCAATATGAAACTAACTTGAGGAGCACATATCAAACAGAATTTTGTGTATTCAAATAAAAAGACATTTGCCTTCCTACTGTTGCCTGATTGTTAAACTGTTATTTCCCAGCCTCAGGTTTTCTTAAAGCCCCATTTCAGCCAGATTGTATACAGATAGTAAAATACGTACTGTAGATAGAACACACAACACTTCTATCTGTCCATCACTAATACAACAAGTCTTCAATGGTGGCCATTGTTGCTTGAAAGGAGACTACTACTGTTGTAATCTCTCTCTTTAGAAAACCTATAGTGCTTTCAGAAATCCTTTGTCATGTATTAAGTTTATATACAGTATGTAAAATAAGGATTGTGTACATATGGACATTCACAGATGAGAAATATCAGTTTAAAAAAAATAAAGAAATAGATCGCCACAAAAATGTTTTTTTTTAAACACACCAAAATATGCATTCTACTCTACAGTGAAAAACGTAAAGTGTTACTAAACCCAGGACCCTGCATTCACTATATCTGGTCTTCCACAGTACACAGAATATGGAAATGCAATTATTTTAGTAAATATAAACTGCTAAATACCTTTTTTCATCAGCAGTTAGAGCAGTCTTGTGACTTCTATCAGTGTCCAGTCGAGTATTGCTTAATGCTTGTAGGAGGAGTTTTGATTTTGCTAGGAGGATGCAGAACCACTGGTCCTCTGGCTGGATAGTGCTGCTGATTGGCTCTGTACTGATCACATGCACTCTCCAAAAAAAAAAAAAAAAACTCTCTAAAAATACACACCAATCTGAGCATGTGCAGAGTGACTCAGCACGATATGTCTTATCAGGAGATAAGAGGGGGACACTGGAAGAAGGGGAGGATCAGAGAAGACAGGATCAAACATCCATTTTACACAATGCGGAGGATTAACTCCTTAGGTTCCACAGTGCGTATAACAAACATGCTTTACTGCATATAAAGACTGATTTTACTGTTGTGGATTTAGTAACACTTTAAGGGCCAGAATACTTTAAAGAAATAATGACATTGTAGTAATGTATTCAGTAGTATGAAAGTAAAAGTAAATATTACAGTATATACATATATTAAGTATTTTACATTTACAAGTTGCAGCTGAAATGGCATTGCCAACCTGTACTGCAGATCTACTTTTACCCAAGAATTAAAAAAGGTACATACCTTAAAGTGTATGCTCCCTATATTTTTTAAACTATGCATGTGTTTAAATATATGTATTTTTAAACAGTAGTTGTCTGCCAGTCCCCTTCTTTGTTTGAAACTGACCATGCAAAGCATGGAAGCAGATGCAGACTTGCGTGGTCAGTTTGTGTTTCTGGTCTTGCTGTTGAGAGATTCTTTGCACACACACACACAGCGTGTATGTATCTTCCATAGTCTTCTTACCTTCCATACCCCTGTCCAGCCCTGCCTTGTTGATTGGTTGTCTTTTGCAGCTGCAACTAACAAGATTTTAGAGTGCAGAAGGCACAGCCTTCTGGAATGCAGTTTACAGATGGGGAACCTACTACCCCATTTGTGTGTGATAAATGAAACGTCCCACCCTCTGTTGTTCAAAATAGGAAATGTATCAATGTTGACTAAACAGTTAAAGTTTAGTAAAAAATAAGAATCAAAATATTGTTTCTTTGGAAAATAAATGCAAATATGATACCTAAATATCATGCATGTTATCACAAATTCACTCACAAGTTCATTCACAAATAGTCTATAATATGTAAAGTTAAAAAGCTTGTGAAAAATGAATTTTTATCCCTTTCTCTGTATGAATACCCAGTATATATATATATACTGTATATATATACACACAGTTGTGTTCAAAATAATAGCAGTGTGTTGAAAAAAGTGAATAAAGCTCAAAATCCTTCTAATAGCTTTTATTTCCATACACACAAATGCATTGGGAACACTACACATTCTATTCCAAATCAAAACATGAAGAAAAATATATCAAATTTGTGTTGTTCCTCTAAAGAAATTTAAGAAAAGTGAATATTAGACTGTTCAAAAAAAATAGCAGTGTTTGTATTCTTCTTTACAAACTCAAACATTCACTATATAAACTGAAAAATGTTTGAAGATTTTGCTTTCCTTTGAATCACTTAATTAATATTTAGTTCTATAGGCACTGTTTCTGAGAACTGCTGTACATCTGTGTTGCATGGAGTCAACCAACTTCTGGCACCTGTGAACAGGTATTCCAGCCCAGGATGATTGGACTACATTCCACAGTTCTTCTTGGTTTTGCCTCAGAAACTGCATTTTTGATGTCACCCCCACAAGTTTTCTATTGGATTAAGATCCGGGGATTGGGCTGGCCACTCCATAACGCCAATCTTGGTCTGGAACCAAGATGTTGCAAGTTTACTGGTGTGTTTGGAGTTGTTGTCTTGTTGGAACACCCATTTCAAGGGCATTTCCTCTTCAGCATAAGACAGCATGACCTCTTCAAGTATTCTGATGTATTCAAACTGATCCATGATCCCTGGTATGTGATAAATAGGCCCAACACCGTAGTATGAGAAACATCCCCATATCATGATGCTTGCGCAACCATGCTTCACTGTCTTCACAGTGTACTGTGGCTTGAATTCAGTGTTTGGGGGTCGTCTGACAAACTGTCTCCGGCCACTAGACCCAAAAAGAACAATCTTACTTTCATCAGTCCACAAAATGTTGCGCCATTTCTCTTTAGGACAGTCAATGTGCTCTTTGGCAAATTGTAACCTCTTTAGCACATGTCTTTTTTTTCAACAGTGGGACATTGAGGGGGCTTCTTGCAGATAGCTTGGCTTCACATAAGCGTCTTCTAATTGTAACAGTACTCACAGGTAACTTTACACCTTCTTTGATCTTCCTGGAGCTGATTGTTGGCTGAGTCCTTGCCATTTTGGCTATTCTTCTATCCATTCGAATGGTAGTTTTTTGCTTTCTTCCACGTCTTTCAGGTTTTGGTTGCCATTTTAAAGCATTTGCGATCATTTTAGCTGAGCAGCCTATCATTTTCTGGACTTCTTTATATGTTTTCCCCTCTCCAATTACTTTTTAATCAAGGTACGCTTTTCTTCTGAACAATGTCTGGAACTATCCATTTTCCTCAGAATTTCAGAGAGAAATGCAATGTAACCAGCATGTACAACATTTGCTGCCTTAATTCCTTAAATAAGGGCAATAATTGGCACCTGTTTTTCAAAGAAATGAATGACCTCACTAATAGAACACTGCTATTATTTTGAACATGCCCCTTTCAATTAGTGATTCAATGACACAGAATCAGCAGCATGCATGTCATGACTGTTGGGTCTGTTGGATTTCTATTACTCTACTACACCTGCTAGTAAATTATTTGCCATGTAGAAATATAATTTCTACCAAAACAGTGATTGATCAGGTTAGTGATGTCTGACTGCTATTATTTTGAACACAACTGTGTATGTATATATATATATATATATATATATATATATATATATATATACATATATATTTAATTACTCTATAATTTATGATTTCCTACTAGTGAATTTTGCAGCACAAACTGTTACACCCCAATAAAGCTCAGTTTTACATTAAAGGCCTTAATGGGAATAACAAAGCCAGGCAGAAAAATAACAGGCATGTGTTATTTCAGGAGGCTGTTTGAAAAATGCTATGCGCTATATGAGAAATAATAACCCACAACCCAGAATCCTGCAGACTTTTATAAGGCTGGCTGGATGTAGGCGCACAGCTGGGTATTAATGACGAACAGGAAAAGGCACGTTAATGCAATAGCCGAGGAGATCTTCACCTCAATTGAAAACTACAGCAAAAGTAAATAAAGATCAGTGCAAGTAAATGTCTATCCCCTAATGATTCCTAGCAGTGGATACTAATAATTAGATGTGTAATCACCAGCTATCTTTACATTCTACAATTTTCTATATAAAAGTTGGAAAACTCCAAATTTTTGCTTTATTGCACTATACAGTATGTGCCTCAAATTCACTTAATTTTAGTGCACCAGCCAGGTTGCTAGATTTTCAGAATAAAATTCAGGGACACCGAACTGACCTTGTCCACAAAATCACCAAAGATCAATATGGCTGCACAATGTGTACGAAAGCTGTTCAGAGAGACAATTGCTGTAACTGTGATTCTTACTGGTGCCATTCCTACGTGGGATGCCTACCTGAAAGTACAAGATAGCAAGGTAGTGTTTTGCTATGATTATGAAAGATCTGGGGTGCCCTGAGGCACACTGAGGAGAGCAATGAAGCAAATGTTGGGTGTGGACAAATTGTCACATTATTGGGAGGGATTAAAGGAATATGGTTTAATAACACCCTGAGCCTACTCTGCCATGGTTTAAGAGTGCCTAACATGCAGGGATCAGGAAGGCATAATGCACAGAGTATAGGGGTCAGGGGTGTGTAATCCACAGATTTCAGGGGTCAGGGATGTGTAATCCACAGAGTGCAGGGGGTCAGGTGTGTGTAATCCACAGAGTACAGTGGTCAGGAATGCATCATCACAGATTGCAGGGGTCAGTGGTGTATTAATCACAGAGTGCAGGGATCAGGTGTTCGTAATGCAGAGAGTGAAGGGGTCATGGGTATGTAACACACAGGAGAATTAATACACAGAGTGCCTTTCAAGAAAAAATTACCCTCTCTTCCTAATACAACCCCCTTCACTTTCCATGACACAACCATCTCCAGAACAAATTCTCCCCTCCCTCCCTGAATTGTCATTCTGTTGCATCTAATAAAACCAACAAAGTTAGTGCTGACAGCAAAACAAAAAGTGCAGTATCAGCCTTTCTGATATGGGAGAAAGTCACCTGTCATCTGGAGTAGGGGCGGACTGACCATTTGGAAACTCGGGCACGGCCCGGGGTCATTAGGGGGCCCCATGAGATGCCCCTGGTACCTTTTTCATAGGCTTTTTTGAGTTTGGGCAAGGACACAGGGGCTCCATGATCCCCTATTGCCCGGGGGCCCCATGAGTTGTCAGTCCACCCCCGATCTGGAGTTTCTGTGCAGACATTGGTTTACTACTGAGGGCCAATTGGCAAGGGGATTTGAGCTTGCCTTGATCTGATCCCAACTGATAACACTGAATGCATTATACCTCTGTGTGTGAGAGGTGTTTTATCTGATAAGAGTCATATTTACTAGTGATGGGTCTTCACTGGAAGCACATTCACTGTATTTTTTTTAGGCACATTTGGTGATGCACCAGATATTTACAAATTAATGATTGCGACTTTTATGGTCATGTATTATCACTGTTTAATTATAAGGTGCCACATTTTACAGTATATACTTAGAATTGCATTACATCTTCTTTTCTGCTGGTGAATGACCTGGGTCCTGACTATATGACCCATGTTTTTTTTTTATCTTGATGTATATTAACCACTTGCCTACTAAGCACTTATACCCCCTTAGTGCCCAGGCCAACTTTTAGCTTTCAGCGCTGTCGCATTTTGAGTGACAATTGCACGGCCATGCAACACTGCACCCATATGAAAT